GAAAGAGGGACAGGGAGCCAGACAAACTGAGATGGGGAAAGAAAAATGTAACGACAGGCTAGGGGACAGAGAAGGAAGACTTAGAAAAACAGGGACAGGGAGAAAGACAGAGCGAGATGGAGAAAGGAAAAAATAGTGACAGGTGACAGGACAGAGAGGAAGAAATTGAAAATGAGTGAGTAGAATAAAGAGAGATTAAGAAAGCAATAGACTCACAATGTGCCACAGAGAAAAAAGAAAGGAAGAAAGGAGTAATGATGGGTAGCAGGCCAGAGGGACAAGGAGCAGGATGCTGGGACAGACAGCAAACGAGAGCAACAGAGAGAACAGCAGAGAGGCGGAGCACAAGAGAAAACAGGGACGGAGAGTGGGACGGAAGGGTGAAGCAATAAATAATAGGGCCAGGGAGAAGGACAGCGGAAGAGAGACAGAGAGAGGGGGACACGCAAGACAACAGCAAATTGGAGAAAGATGAGAAGTAGAAGAAGGAGAGCACAGAGGGTCACAGAGAAAAAGAGGGATGGCAGAAAGAGAAAAACAAGACAAGGGTAAAGGACTGAGGAGCAGAGAGAAAAAGGTACGGGGAAAAGGACAGAGACAGAGAAAACACAGAAAGACTGGAGGCAGAACAAAGGGCAAAACTGACAAGGACAGGGAGCAGGACAAAGGGATGGAGGAGGAAAAAACAGCAGTGGGCCACAGAACAGAGGAAGAGAGAGAAAAAGAGTAAGCAGAGCAAGAGAAGGAGAATGACAGAAGGCTGTAAACAGAAAGACTGGGACAAGTAAAAGGGGCGCTTGGGGGACACCCACATCGGAAGGGTAGAAAGGAAAAGAGGGGCATGGGGAGCCAGACACCATGACAGAGCAAAATGGGGAGAGTGGGGTGCGAGGATACAGAAAAGCAGAGGTACAGGGAAGAAGAACGAACGACAGGGAGAGAAAGGCGAGGGTGGGGAGCAGGAGGGAGACGTGAAGAACGAAAAAATAGTGACGGGCAGAAGGAAGAAATACAGAGAATACTTCTAGGCATACTTCTAGAAATACTTCTAGTCAGCAGAATGGATGGATAGAGCAAGAGTAAAAAAAAAAATCAACAGGGAGAAGGACAGGTAACACGCAGCAGGACACTGGGGGAAGTGAGAGGGAGGGAACACAGAGCAAGGCGGAGGAATGAAGAGCGAAAAAAAAAAAACAATAAAATGAAAGGGAACTGGACAGAGAAAGGCGGCAGGGCAGAGAGATGCAGAAAGAAAACACAGGGACAGAGAGATCCAGAGGCAAAAAGAGGGAACAGGACCAGGACAGTGGGATACAAACAGGGAGCAGGATGCAAGATTGCAGATAGAGAGGTCCAGGGAAGCAGAAAGAATGACACAGAGAAAAAAGCGGGGGGGGCAGGAGCAGGTCAGAGAGCTGGAGAAAGGAAAAACACTGCTGTAGAGCAGCACAGAGGGATGAATAAAGAAAGAGGGATGGAGAGCAGGGCAGAGAAACGGCAAAAGAAAATCAGTAGTGGAGAGCCGGGCAGAGGACAGTAAGACAATGGAGAAGACCGAGGAGCTGAGAGAGAAAGCAAGGTCGAAAGAAAAGGTCAGAGAGGTAGAGAAATTAAGAAAAACAGGGACGAGGAACCTTGCAGAAATGAAGCAAGATAATGTAGAGCTGATGAGCAGGACAGAGGGAGAGAGAGATGGGGGCCGGGGGGAGGAGACGAAGAAGAAAGAAGAGACAAAAATGGCAACAGAGCGCAGGACACGGAGAGAGAGAAAAAAAGACAGGGAACAGGAAAAAAGGGACTAAGAAACAAAGAAAGGGTCAGATCTATACAAAGAGACCACAAAGAAAAAAAAAAACAAAAACAAAAAATAAAACCACAAGAGGCTAGAGGACAGAGGAAGAGAAAAAAGGGCCAGGGAGCTGGACAGAGGAGAGAAAGGAAAAGAGGGAGAGCCGTCTGGAGGGAGGTATAGCAAAAAATGATCAGACAGGCAGCAGGACAGAGAAATAAAGACAGAAAAAACGGTGACAGGAAGCAGGACACAGGGATGACGAGAGGAAACAAGGGGTAGCGAGCAGGACAGAGATGGATAAAGAACCACTGGGGCAGAAGGATAGAAACAAAAGATGAAGTCAAGAAGAAGGATGGGGGATGACAGGGGAAGATGAAGGACGAGGAACAGGACAGGTTGTCAGAGAAAGACAGAGGGCAAGACAAGGTGATACAGAGAGACAAAAAAGAGACAGGGAAGCAGGTTAAAGTGAAAGACAAGCAAAAATAAGAGACAGGGAACAGGGCAGAAACGGAGGGGAGAAAGCCTCAGCTGGGTAGCAGGAGAAAGAGGTGGAGAAGGGAAAACCAGCACTGGGCTGCAGGGCAGAGACGGAGTGAGAAAAAACAGTGACAGGCAGCAGGACACAGTGACAGAGAACCAAAAAACAAAGAGGAAAACAGGACAGAGAAGGGCGAGAAAGGCAGGGAGACGAACAGAGAAACAGAGGGGGATGGGATAGGGAGCAGGACAGAGAAATAGAGCAAGAAAAGAAAAAAAGACAGGAGGCAGAACAAAGGGAAAGAAAGACAAAGAAAGGGGGCAGGACAAACGGATGAAAAAGTGAAAAAAGTAGTAATGGGCTGCCAGACAGAGATGGAGGAATTAAAAAACAGGCACAGGGGATGTAACAGCATGACAGAGAGAAAAAAAGGGACAGGGAGCAAGACAGGGAGCAGGACAGCACTGGAGATAAACAGCTGTGACGAGTAGTGGGAGAGAGATATGGAGAAAAAAAAAAAACTGAGGAGGAGAGAAAGGAAAGAAGGGACATCTAGCTGGACAGGGGAATCTAGAAAGAAAGGATGGGAAAGGGAATGCGACATAGAAAGAAAGATGGAAAAAACAGCGAGAGAAAGCAGGGCAGAAGGACAGCAAGAATAAAAAAAAAGGGACAGGGATCTAGACAAAGATGGAGAAGAAAGCAGCTGGGACAGAGGAAAACAGACAGAAAGAGCAACAAGGAGCAGGGCAGAGAGAGAAAGATCAGGACAGCGGCAGGATGGAAGTGGAGAAAAAAACCTGGGATGGTCAACAGGACAAAGAGGAATTGGAATATGGGCAGGGAGCGGGGCAAAGGAATATAGTGAGAAACGGCGGGACAGAAAGTAAGACAGAGTGGTAGACAAAAATAACGACAACAGTAGAGAAAGAAAAAGATCATGAGAAGCACAGGGTGCTGGACAAAGAAAGGCATTACAAGCCCTGCAGAGATATGGAGGACAAAAGAAAAAAACAACAACACAGAGGACCAGTGAGCAACACAAAGGGTCAGCGAGAGTAAGAGATGAACAAGTAGGAAGATGGCAACACTGACAGAGGGATAGAGAGAGAAAGAAGGAAAGAAGGAGACAGACAGCAAGACAGGGACACGGAGCAGTACGTACAGGCACAGAGAGGAAAAGAATGCCAGGGAACAGGCTAGAGAAATTGAGGAGAAAAAGAGACAGATGCAGATCAGGACAAAGAGATGGAAAAGGAAAAACCAGTGATGGGCTGCAGAACAGAGACAGAGGATGAAAAAAAAGAGGGAGAGGGAGCAGGACACAAACAGCAGAGATACAGGGAAGCAAATAAATAAAATTCACAGCAGCACGGGAAAGAGACGGGGGCAGGGGAGGGGCAGGGAGGGCCTGGGACGCAGAAGAGGGGTGACAGGGCCCCGAGAACCTGGGACTCACCGCAGCTCTCGCCACTGCCAGAAGAATTTGACAGGCCAGATGCTCCTTTCTCCTTCTCTCCTCCCTTCTTCTTCTGTAATGCCAGTCACTTGGCTACCCTCCACCTAAGAGAAAATGCAGGTGTCTCATAGCTCTTACAAAACGACGCTTCCTAGACATATAACCTTACTCAAGCACTCCACAGCCATACCGCGCTGCTAGTGACACATACAGACTCTGCAATACATGCTGGTGGCCTGGCCTGCTGCAGACTACGAAGAGGGATACTTCCTTACCCAGAGAAGCACGCTCTCTCTTGCCTGCAGCAGGAGGCAGCTGCCAGCCAGATGACCTTTGATTTCTTTTTCTTCACCTTTCTCTGTCCTCTCCAGCTTCAGCTGCGACAACTCCTGTCTACAGCCAGTAAGCACTCTGCCTGTCCCTTTTTGCCCCCATGCCACGAGAAGAGTGACGCCAGGCAGAGATAGCCCACACCAGCCTGAGGTGGGCACAGTCAACAGCACCCCCATGGGAGGAACGGACAACTGCATCCTCAGCAGAGCCGCTGGGAAAGAGAAAGAAGCAACAACGACCATTATTACCCCTGAGCACCCCTGGCTGAAGCCTCTCCTTCCGTGGCAGCTTCTGGAGACACCGCTCCTTCCCCCCCACCGTTGCTGACGGCACCCGCGTTAATGAAGAATGAGGCACACTCCAGGGCCAGCGTGCCACCCTCAAGACAGGGCTTGGGGGCGGCCCGGGTCTCCGGGACAGGCTTCAGAGCAGATGCTGGAGCCGGGGGGCAGCCGCACGGGGAGAGCGGGGCTGGGCGAGGTTCAGGGGGAGCGCTGGCGAGCGGCCCAGCCTCTGCGCC